ATCTCTCGATGTTTGGGTGGCTTGAATCCCTCGGAGCTCTCCATCCGGTTGCACCCAGACAAAGGCGACGTTTTCCATCCCCTCTCTCTCAACTACACAACGGGCCTGTCGTGCCGGACTTGGGACGAGCTGGTCCAGGAGCTCAGCTGCATCTATTCTGACGCAATTGCTTCGCTCCCTGACACATCCCTTCCGGACGCCAAGACGCGGCAAAATGCAGCGATCATCCAAGGCATCCAGCCGCCCAAGGACGAAAGGGAGCCGGCTTGGATGTCGAAAACCGAAAACCGAAAGATTCCAAGGATTCAAATGAAGAAACCTTGATACCCAAAGAGCCTCACCATGGATTTTAGACGATTCCTGGTGCCGGATAGCCACACACAAAAAAAATTCAAAAAATGGATGGATTTAACATCACCTGATATATAGAAGCGACTATGTTCAGGAAGTGAAATCTCCCATTACCAAGACAAAATATGTAGATCCTATTTTAAAAGCTTCGAAGTGATTACTGTATTGATGCTATTCGTGATGGATAAAGTAGTATCCTAAGAATTACAACGACTTCCATCATTACGACCATCCAAGGCGTCGTTGCCCTCACGAAGAACAGCTTCGGTCAAATCCCGGAGAAGAATCCAGTACCGTGGATCCTCGCATTTGCGAGAATGGGCATTTTGACAAGGCCGTTCACGAGATCCTGCGCAAGACCATTGTCTGCTGGATAGCTCTCACGCAAGTTTCAGCTTGAGCGCCGCCAGGAGCATGTTTGAGAGCATGAAGATGCGCACCTTGGTTTCCTGGACCACCAACGCTCAAAACGCTTGAAGGACAAAATCAGGAGTCAGAACCATACTCAGGTGCTTCAATCCCTTTCGAAAGCTTCCACAGTCAGACCGTTTGCTTCTACATCCCAAAGAAACCAGGGGATACCTCCAAACCATTCAAACGCCATTTCAGCAGCATTCACTCTCTGCGTTATCTCTTTGGCTTCTTCCGATCCACTCTCGTAGTCTGTCACGCGTTTCCTCCAAGAAGACACAAGAGCATCGTACTCCTGCTTTTCCCACGCAGGCAGATAGCGAGTGAACGTTGTCCGCTTGGCTTTTCTGACATTGAACTCGTCTGATGATGAAGCAGCAACAAGGGTTTTATTTCCAACCATCCGCCCCAAGTCCACTCACAGATCGATGAGATGGTATCTACTTTGCTGTCCAGCACGATCTCCTGAGGGAAGTCTTCTCTATTCACCACCCTGAGCTTGTTACCCTTGAACATCAAAACAGTTGCTCTGGACTCGTAGATCATGACTGGAAGTACCAGACGAATGCAGATTTACCAACCCCCGAATTTCCATTCAAATGGCAGCACAACATCCACATGAACGGCACCAGGATCTTCCTGATCTCTTTGTACAACCCATCGAATATCTCCTTCACGTACAGCTTCAGAATATTGCTGTGGAATGTGGTCAGACGAGCACCTTGAGCAAGAAATTTCATCCGTTCCAGATGGAACATTGATCCACCATGCCTGCTGAGATCTCCTAACATAGACTGCATGTTCCCACAGGAGGCAAAGCATATTATTGTACGTTTTAATTGAAAAGCATTTAGCTCAAGCGTTACAATGAGCTATCCAATAAGAGCACAACTCCCAACAATGGCCTAATCTTCATTATTGAGCTTAGTCCTGGGTTCATTTTAAAAGATTGTAACCGAGCTTAGTCTTTGTACTGTGGGTTCCTTGTAAAAGATTGTAATTAGAAGCTCTATTAGCTAAAAGAGTGATGGAATCACAAGGAATCCAATCACGGTGGCGTTCTTCAGGCCACTTTAGCACACGACAATGACATCCTCAATGTTAACAATCCACCTTGCGTGTACTAGTGCTCCACGATCGGGCAAGTCTCTACACATAGGTTCATCATTTGGCGAGGAGCCCCAGGTAGCTACATGTTATAACTTATGCTCTAGCATTCTTGAGGCCAGTTTCGTCCTACTAGATGGTACATCCTGACAAAGAACTGACAAAGAACTTTTCTGATTTCGGAAGTGAATGTGATCTAGTCGGGAGCCATTCCTTCCAAGACCATCTCCTGGTAGAGGATCAAATTAAAGCGTGGAAGAAATTCCCAGTGAGAGCGTAGGCCTAGCAGTCCATGCGACAATGTTGTGGCACTCGGGCATTTGATCGAACATTGCCCGTGCCATGTGTGTGTCGTTTTGAGTGTAGAACTCATGCTTTTCCACGGTATGTATGGCTCTTCTCGTGCTCATTTTGCTTATACTATTGTCCAGATTGCTTCATTCCTCATAGATGTATTTTCCAAGATAAATGGAGGCCTGTAGTTCATCAACATCCAAGGCGTGGAGTGACCACAATGCAACTTGTGATGAGACGAGTTTGTGACCTTTGTATTATGCCTTCTGCTCTTTGGAAACTTTTGAGACAGCTTGTTCTCAGCTGATTGAGTTTAAGCTCGGTCAAGGCTTTCACAAGATTGGACAATAGTGTGAAAGACGAATGCCAAAACCATGTGTTTGAGGACAAGCTTAACTAGCTAGTTGCACCAAGATCACCACCAATTCCATGAGGTGTGACTTGTTTATGTTGAATCTAGGATTTTCCTCAAGAGCTTCCCTGGTTTATTGGATGTCTGGTGCAACCCTGGAGTTTTTTTTGCAGTGAGTAAGCTTTCACGGTTTCAGAGCAGTATATTATTGCCAAGAAAAGGCATCAAAAGTTGGAGCAGGATTTGAAAGGATCGAAACCTATGGACCTCCAAGCTTTGACAACCAAGTGAAGAATAGATGGGACCAGGGTGCCTGGATCAAATCAAACTCGAGCTCAGACAAGCCATCTTCCACGACAATACCTTAAACGGCTGTTACGCTTTGTTTCTCAAAAGTAGCCTTTGCATCAGCTGCTTGTCAGATTGAGACGAAGAGTCCACCCATTTTGTTTGCCATGGCCTCGCCAGAGCATGGAGCAAGTGAGAGTTTCATTCCATCGAGAAGAGAATGGTTTCTTTCTTGAGCTTGACTGCAGCAGATTTTTCTAGACATGCAAAACGACAGAAATCTTATAAAACCCACCTTGCATATGTCTCATGAATAAGTTTGGACTTTTCAGGAGTATCGGTGGGCCTCAAGCTCCTCTTTGTTTATAAATTGTTTATAAATGTAAATGCTCTTGTGCAGGAAGCTTATGAATACTTCTTATGAAAAGCACCTCAACTCTTGTATCCATTTTCGTGGCTCGATTTTGGTAGCATCTGTAACGTTATGCGGCTGTAGAGTGGCTGTTGCCTGATGCATTCTTGAAACACTTTGCTCTCTTTAACAGAAGAAACAGTCTGTTGTAACACACAAAGCTTAGACATTTTTCACCCCAAAAGGAAAGAAATATACCTTGAGGTATAGCCTGAAGCCGTGTCCCACAACTTGACGCCCAAGGAAGTTAATCACCCATGTCGGAACAAGGTCGAGCTTAAGGTCCAGGTGCATTACTGCTCTGTAAAAGAAGTAGTGACTATCTTAAGAAGAAAACAAAAAAAAAAAAAAAAAACTAATAGCGTACCTTATGTAGCATTTCTCGTCGCTAATCTTCTGGAGGATGAATCCACCGTTGGCTTCCATGCGAATGACGCCTTCTTTTGGAGGAGGCAAATGAGAAGCATTAAAACCATGGATGGTCTCCTTGACGGTAGTCTCTGCTTCCTGGGGGACCTGGCAAATCACCACCATTGGAGTGAATATAATAACAAAAGCGGCACAGTGATTGATAGCTTAACTGTTCGCAAGCAGCCAACCACGGCATCCAATTCAGGTAGCTCCAGTTCGAAAGACGTGACCAGCATTTCTCTTGTCGCAAACGGCCATGGAACCTTGCACTTGGCAAGAGCTTGTAGAATTTAAACACGGGATGGAGGACCACCAGCGTTGTGGCTTTTGGATTGATCAGCAGGGCACAAGGGATATACGTTGCAGTGAAAGCATTGCTTTCCCACAGTTCATCTTTCGCCCTTTTTGCTCTAAATACTCTTGTTGTGGACAGCCACCTTTTGGCCCCGAGTACTTTCCATGCATTGCCCCCTCTTCTTCACACAGGGTGTGACTTGAAATTTCATGGATTTTTTCTTGTTGCTGCTAGGAACAAGCATCAAACTTGGATAGAACACGACAAGAAAGCCCCTTGATGAAATCTCAAGCTCCCCAGGATTTGAAAGAACAGAGAAGTACCTCCAGCCTTGTACTCTTAACTTTGCTGCTAATCAAGAGTGTGCCTGGATCAATTTAATCTTCAATGCTCAAACAAGCCATCTTCGGACATTCAGTCGTTGGATGCAGGGAAACCTTGTTTCTCAAAAGAAGAAAAGGTAGGTTATCCCAGGGATTCAGTGGTGAAATCTTCATTCCATAATGGTTTCTTTCTTGAGCTTCACAACCGGATGACAGCCTTATAAAACGTTCCCACGGGTTTAGAAAGGATGCTTAGAAATGAGCGAGAGCTTGCGCCGTTATGGTGAAGGTATGATATACGTTAAGAAGCAATTAGTGTCCGATTTGGACGGGAACCTGATGGCCGGATATCTGGCTAGAATAAACAAATAGGTCACAGGTTCGAATCCACAGCCAGAGACCCAATCAAAATTTTTTGCAACGCTTCTCCCTCCTTTGCATTTTGCAAGCTACTGTGATCAGAGTGAGCTCTTCTGCCTGCAGTCATCTCGGGATGAGAACTACTTGTCGTCCATAGCCCAAGACTACAGCATGTCCACGATCATGGAACACTTAAGATGCTTGGTGGATCTGCTGGGCAGATCTGGGAAGCTAGACAAGGCCAGTGTCGAGCCAAATTTCAGCGCTGGAGAATGAAAGAGTGGGGAAAAGTCCGATGCTAGTGCAGCTCCAACCATTCTTCTCAATCCCTGTCGATTACACTCAAAGGAATGTCCCCGAATGAGGCTCGAATGTGCTCTTGGCACAAGTGATCCAGGCCACAGAGTCGACTAGCGCGTGGATCTCCCCCGGATCGGCATTGATAGCTGCCAAGAGAAATAACTGGATGCTCGAAAAAAGAGTAACAAGGGCAAATGCCGCGATCGCAATCTTCCACGAGAAAGAACCTCGATCTTTCATCTTCTGGAAGATTTCCAGCGCCCGCACTTTCCATACCTTTCTATGACCAGATTAGCAAGGAACCTCGAGGCCGCTGGAGACGATTTTCCTCGTGGATGCGCCTTCCCCCTCCCAGATCTGTGCTCACCGCATTCTCGCCCAGGCGCCCACCGCTGGAGATCGCTCCTCCTTCCTGCAAATCTTCGCTGGATGGCACCTCCTCGTCAAGGCTCAAGAACGATGCCATGGAAAACCACCGCCATTGCCATTATACGCTACTGCTGCACATTTTCGATCCAGGGGGCTCTTTACCCGGGCGGTCTGCTGCTGCCGGGCGTGCTCTATGAGTCGAGCAGCATGGTCTTTCTTCTCAGTCTCAGACATCTTCAAACTAGGCTCACAAGCACAAGCACTGCTTTTCCGCGGTATGTATGGTTCTTCTCGTGCTCATTTTGTTTATACTCTTGTCCAGTCCAGATCGCTTCATTCCTCGTCTTCGCCACCCTTTGGCCTCGAGCATTTTCCAAGATAAAATGGAGGCCTGTAGTTCATCAACATCCAAGGCGTGGAGTGACCACAACGCAACTTGTGATGAGATGAGTTGGTGACCTGGTATACGTTTTTTGTGTTATGCCATCTGCTCTTTGGAAACTTTTGAGAAAGCTTGCTCTGAGCTGATTGAGTTTGAGCTTGGTCAAGGCTCTCACAGGTTTATTGGATCTCTGGTGCAACCCTGGAGTTTTGTTTGCGGGTGAGTAAGCTTTCACGGTTTCAGAGCAATATATTATATTATTGCCAAGAGAAGGCATCAAAACTTGGAGCTCCAGAGTCTCATGCCCCGAGGATTTGAAAGGATCCAAACCTATGGACCTCCAGCTTGGACAACCAAGTGAAAAATAGATTCCCGGGACCATGGTGCCTAGATCAAATCAAACTCGAGCTCAGACAAGCCATCTTCCAGAACAATATCTTAAACGGATGTTGCTGGTTCTTGTTGCAGCATACTTATACTTTGTTTCTCAAAAATAGCTTCTCCATCAGCTGCTTGCTCAGATTGAGATGCAGAGTCCATCCAACCCGTTTTGTTTGCCATGGCCTCGCCAGAGCATGGAGAAAGTGAGAGTTTCATTCCATCAGGAAGAGAATGGTTTCTTTCTTGAGCTTGACAGCAGCAACGCGCTGCGCGCCATGCGCCCACAAAACGAAAATCTCTTGCGCCGCTGTTTACATTATGGTATACGTTAAGAAGCAATTAGTGTACACTTTGGACGGGAACCTGATGGCCGGATATCTGGCTAGAATAAAAAAATATGTTGGCACAGGTTTGAACCCACAGCCAGAGACCCAATCAAATTTTTTTGTATGAACGAGGGATTTCTCTTCTCCGCAAAGTCGCTCTCGGCAGCGTTGCTGGAGCTAAATCTTCTCTCGTGCCGATCCCCCCGAATGATCCACGCCGCAGCGCCGGGTTCAGGCTCTTGGTTCGCGCGATATTCCCTTTCGCTGGCAAATGCGAGCAGCAAGAACAGGGCATTCGATCGATGCGGCGTCAATCTTGTTCGATTAGGAGTTCCGTGATCGTCTCCTGGAACGCGATGGTCACCGCGTATGTGGCGGCATCCCGCATCCGAGAGTGAGAGTGTATCTCAGAGCGCCATGGAACTCGATGATAATGGCGCTCGCGCAGCAGGGGCAAATTGTGGCAGCGAAATCGAGCTTGGGCAAAAACGCCGGCCAAGGATCTGGTGTCCTGGACGAATCTACTGCCCAGAATGACAGGACGTTCCATGGGTTCCCCTTCCAGCAGTGAATAGCAGACCACCTCCAAAGAAATCTTTGATTTCATGCCGGATGAAGACGGTATTGATTCGGCCAGTAGCTGCTCTCCAGGATCCGCGCGTGGATCCTCTGGCCTCGCAGACCCTGGATGTCGTCCACGTGGACAATCAGATGGATTCCAAATCTTGTTTTTCAAATAAGAGGTGCTGAAATAATATTTTGTTATCTGCCAGTGTTCATGGCTTTGTGGTTATAGCATGCACGCTGTAATGTTCTATTGTGAAGGGTTGCTGGGTTCGATTCCCATTTTCAATTAAGAATAGTACGGTGTTAGGCACTACAAACGTCAAGTTGATGGATCTCGAGATCCAATTCTGCAGCTAGGATTAGTAGCATACGAATGGTTGTGAGTTTCACCACAACCATTCGAGTTTCTCCAAGTAGTCCAGCCCATGTGCCACAAATCTCGCCTTGTAGCACTCAATGCTTCCATCAGCGTTGTACTTTTTTGGATGAGACGAGCTTTCTGCGAGCTGGAAGTTCAACCAGCGACAAGTGTTGTTTTTCTGGAGAGAATCATACTCCTCCTGCATAGCTGCCTGCCAGTGCTCAGCTTCTGGTCCGTGTAGAGCCGCCTGGGGACCGAGAGAGGAGCTGATCACAGTACTTCTCTTCCTTCTCCGAGTAGTCCAGCCCATGTGCCACAAATCTCGCCTTGTAGCACTCAATGCTTCCATCAGCATTGTACTTTTTCTTAAACAACCACTTGGATGAGACGAGCTTTCTGCGAGCTGGAAGTTCAACCAGCGACAAGTGTTGTTTTTCTGGAGAGAATCATACTCCTCCTGCATAGCTGCCTGCCAGTGCTCAGCTTCTGGTCCATGTAGAGCCGCCTGGGGACCGAGAGAGGAGCTGATCACAGTACTTCTCTTCCTTCGACACCTCCTCTGACGACTCCACAGGCCATAGCGGCTGCCTCAAGCACCAATGAACAGCCAGATCTTTCCACGCTTATGGCTGACCTGTTCGTTGGCAATGAGTTATATCAAGATGCCACCACTCCTCCCAGCATTCCCAAGCTACCACCTCCTCCAGCCGGCACAGGTGACATGCTCGGGTCGTGTCGTGAAACCATCTCTTAAAGCCAAGGAGGCGATGCCTATAGGAAAGTGTGCCTACTTCTGGGCTCTGTCGGCTCCACCTGCCTCTCTGGATCCCCAGCCGTGTCACCACTGCTGTGCCGGCTGGAGGAGGAGGTAGCTTGTAAATGCTGGGAGGAGTGGTGGCATCTTGATATAACTCATCGCCAACGAACAGATCAGCCACAAGCGTGGAAAGATCTGTCTGTTCATTGAGGAGGCAGCTGCTGTGGCCTGTGGAGTCGTCAGAGGAGGTGTCAAAGGAAGAGAAGTACTGTAATCAGCTCCTCCTTCAGGCGCTCCTTCAGCAACTCCTCCTGGCTCTGCAGCGGCTGGATTATCTGGTGCTGGGTGGAGATGTGGAACGTCGTCCAAAATCTCAGAAAGATCCACCAGAGATGGTGGAGAAACAGGAGGGAGTCTCAGGGTATCTCGATAAAGATGAGCTTCATCAAACACCACATCTCGGCTCACCACCAGTTTCCTGCGCTGGCAGTTATAGAGTCGATAGGCTTTTACCTGGGTGTGATAGCCCATGAAGATGCATTTCTCGCTCTTGGGATCCAGCTTCCGCCGCTGAACATCGGGGATGTGGGCGTAGGCTAAGCAACCAAACACCCTCAAGTGCCCTAATTTGGGGCGCTTCCCAGTCCATACTTGAAACGGCACCTGTCCTGTGGAATGTGTTGGCAGCCGGTTCCGGAGATACACTGCTGTGTTGAGTGCCTCTCCCCAAAACACCTTGGGCATGCCAGCGTGCTGGAGAAGGCAGCGTACACAGTCCATAAGTGTCCTGTTCAGGCGCTCGGCGACCCCATTCTGCTGCGAGGTGTGGGCTGCGGTGTACTCGTGGTGGATGCCAGCCTGAGCAAGAAATGCCAGAAACTCCTTGCTCATATACTCACCGCCGCCATCTGAACGTAGTGTCCGGATGGTACAGCCAGTGGCATTTTCTGCCCAGCTTTTGTAGACCTGGAAGTGATGGTAGACCTCTCCCTTGTGTGCCATGAGAACAGCCACCACATAGCGTGAGTAGTCGTCAATGAACAAAAAGAAGTACCGCTTGTGACTGAGAGTTGCTTCTGGCACATGGCACACATCCGTGTGTACCAGCTGAAGAAATCCTGAGGCGCCATCTTCTGGACTTCTGCGTGGAAAGGGTAGTCTTGGCTGCTTCCCCAGTTGGCACGTCTCACATACTCCCAGTTTGGCCGGCACCGGTGAGGGTAAAGTCATTAGCAAGCTTGTGGCTAGCAAGTAGCTGGATGTCGTGAGAATTGGCATGCCCTAGCCGAGCGTGCCAGAGCTGGAAAGAGTTGGCAGCCCAGGAGTTGGGGCGAATTGCAAGCAAATGCCCCTGCTCGTGAGTTGAGAGGATCAACTGAGCATTGAGCTTGTAGAGAGTCTCAGCTCGTCTACCAAAAGCTACTGGATGGCCAGTCTCGTCAAAGATGGTGCATCCGTCTGCATTGAAGAGTGTTGAGAAGCCTTGATCTGCTGCTACACCAACTGAGAACACTGTCTGTCCTGCTTCTGATACGTAGTAGACCTGGTTCACAAGCTTCTCAACTCCACTCTCCCACTTTATGATGACCGTTCCTTGTCCTTCCACTGTTAAGGGGCATTTGTCTCCTACAAAGACTTGCTTCTCCTGCTCCAATGGCCAGTACTTGTGAAAAGCTCTCTTCAATGGTGTGAGGTGCATCAAGGCTCCAGAATCCATCCAGAGCACTTCGGCTTCGGACACAGTGGATGAAGATGCAGCGAGCGTCATCATCAACATCGTGTCAGGTTGGCGTGAAGAAGAGCTTCTTTCAGCGCGAGCTTTCTCTGTGGCTTTCTTGATCTGGCATTCACGCTCCACGTGGCCAGCTTTGCCGCAGTAGTTACATGGGCCCTTGCGTTTTTTATTGGTTGCAGGGCTGGGAGAAGGGCTCTTTTGTCCTCGAACAGGGTCATCTCGTTTCTTCCCACCCGATTGCTTTCCCATGATCAAGGCCTGCTCCACCCGAGCAGCCTGAGAGGGCGCCTTTGTCTCCGCTCGTTCTGCTTTCGTTCTTCCTCGATCAGGTCCGAGTAGAGAGTCCAAGTCCTTTCCAGGCACAGCCGAGAGCATCGATGCGAAAGGTTGGAGATCAGGGGAGACAGAGCTCAGAAGGAATGCCTTAGCTTGATCAATGGTGATTGCCGCTTCCGCGTCCTTCAGCTCAGTGATCATTGCTTTAAACTTTCCAATGTAAGTGGCCATGGTGTCATCAGGTTGCATTCTCATCGTGAAGAACCTTTGTGTTAGCACCACCTTAGCATTGGCAGCTTTGGCAACGAAGATTTGTGTAAGGGATGTCCAGTTCTGGTGGGCTGTTTTGGTAAGGTCAAGGAAATGAACGAATTCATCCTCAAGACCTAACCCGATGACAGAGAGCGCTTTTCGATTCTTGGAGTCCCAGTCGAGCCGTTGGGTTACATCCGCAGCAGCCGGACGTTGAGTCGTTCCATCCACTATAGGCCAGCAGCCCTTGGCCAAAAGGATAAGCTGTACTTTTGTTTTCCAAGTCCAGAAATTCTGTCCCGTGAACTTTTGGAGAAGTTTCTCCCAGCCCCCAGAGTCCCAAGAATTTCCTGCTGCGTTAGCAGAAGACATTCTATCTATTAATCTAAGAATAGGTTAAACAGAGAATTTAGAAAGGACAGCGTGGAGAAGAATCGTGAAAAACTCGGCCGCAACAAGGGCAGGCTGGGCAAAGAGCTTGTTGGCGCTTTCGTTCCTGGATCTTCCGCTCCACCTGCGCCAGCACTGCCAAAGCCCTCGCGCGCTCCTGAGCCAAGGGTTCCTGGCCCCTTTGATTCTTCATCTGCCACTGTCCTCTGGCCATTAGATCGTTCGCTGCTCCGATACCATGTGGTATTATGAAACGGTGTTGTGTTATTATTATGACGGTTGATACATGGTTAAATGTATGGGTTTATCGTGACGATCTGTGGCGGCGTCTGGATCGCTCACGTGGCTGTGTGCTGACGTGGTCTTGTTCACTCCCACAGAAACAGAGAACTGCTTGCCTTGAGGAAAACTTCACATGCATGGACATACAGCATATCCACATCTCCCACGTGATGAAGGCGATAATCATGAAGGACCTTGAGCGAGACAATGAGTAGGCTGGGCCAGTGAGTGCAACACCAACAAGGACGCCAACAACACAGCACTAATAATCCAAACTGCATTTATACATCCATCAGTTTCATGCTTCAAGATGGGCACCATAGATAGATTTCGACTAATGCCGACCTTTTATTTTAAAATTTTTTCACAGTGTTTGTGGCCCAAGCAGCATAAAGTTTACCTGGGCTGGACTTAAACACATGATAGAGCACCACATTTCTATCTCTTTGCATAGTCACAAATGCATAGCATGGTCCATCACAGAACTTATCTAGTGACCATATAACAGCCTGACTTGGGGTTTCTTTGACAACCATGTTCCCATTAAGTTCGACTGTGAGATAGCAATCGACTCCTCTCCCACACACCCCATTCGTCCAAACTTGCCTTCGGCCGGCCTCATTCAAAGACAAGCTACAATCATCCTGGAGCTTGAATGTGTAGATCAAATTCGGGGACTGAAGCTCAAAATTTCGACGAAGACCATTGTAGAAGATGTTGTCCAGCGTTGTCAATTTCGCTTGGCAATCACCTCGATTGCTTCCAAGTAGAATCTTCGTTTGGCTGTGAAGTGTTTCCATCTGTTGATTTGGTGCTATGCGATATTGGACTCCAAACATCTCGGAGACTGCAAGCATGCTGCTGGCTAGAAAAACTTGCATTTGACCTCTTGTATACATTACTAAGGATCGGATGATCGCTTTGATAACAAGGCCTCTCACGCTGATGGTGTTACCTGGATTGACATGGCAGAAATCCAGATTCGGGCCTGTATGATAAGCCAAGATGACGATGTCGATCACAACGTTATTTGTCACAGTGATTTGATCAACATAAGCGCGTCCACTTTCATAGTAAGTATCATCACCGAACATAATCAGATTATCAATCACTGCATCTAGAATCATATTGACATCGGCTGGTGTTA